ATATATATAATAATGTTCTCATTCAATAAAATTCAATTATTTAACTACTTCATAATAATTATTATGCAAGAATGTTTCATTAAGTTAATTACTCAAAGTGGACTTTTATTATTTAATTAATTTTTAACTTCAAGTTTTATTGTTTAAAAATAATATATTGATGAAATCTAGAATCAGATATTTCACTAGTTAAGTTATCTGAAATCGGAGGTTTCGTTGATTTTAGAAAAATATTAAAAATGGACTTGGATTCAGTTTAAGTTTTATCTGTAATGGTCCAGCATGTTAGTATATATTTAATATAATGCAATTATTACGCATTAGAAATGCCAAACAATAATCAATTGATTTAAAATTATCATGTAATAAACACTTAATCATTCATGTATATAAATATTTATATATGATGCAAATTTTAAAAATATTTCCTAGACACCAATCGAGAAACATAAATCTCCTTAAAGATATTACATATACATTTTATATATGTATATAATTTACACAAAATGTACCATTGTAACAAGATAATTCATACTTACTAATTCAGTGTCTATACAAAAAACATACTACATCAGAATAATATCAACAAAAAAATCATCATTAGCATGATTCACCACCAACCCATCCAAGCAAGCTTGCTAATTATGTTTTACTCTTATACCAAATATAACCATTATAATTTAAACTACGAGAAAAAAAAAAGGATAAGCTTATAAAAAGAATAACATTAAATTTTAACTAAAATAACTTAAACAATAGCATTAATTCACCATACAACTTCAAATTGCAATCAAGTATCACATATTTAACTTGCAACATAAAACAACTTAACAACTTCATCATAACAACAATATTCTCAACATACCTACAATATTCAACTAATGCATCATTATGCATATCAACTACGAAGATCTCTTACTACAAATGTGAAAAATTTAGGTAGCTAGACCCTAATAAACCATAATGTCTATTTTATCGCAACCAAATAAAGTATAAACAATTTTAGGTCTCAAAAAGTGGCAGGTATACAACTTAAATATGATTTTTCTAGTTTCATCACTTAAATTAAGAAGTATATTACTACTATCAAGGTATAGCAACTTAGGAACAAGCTAACCACAACATTAGCTTACAACACTAAGTCTCTTATGAGATTAACTTATTGACTACCTTCCAAATACTATGTTTTTTTTAGTACTCCATTAGAGATTAAGTCTTCAACCTTACTTAGTTGGTCACTGTGTACATACATGTTTTGACATTACCCACATATAAATTCCACAAAAAACTTATAAGAGACAACTTAAAACAACTACTTATTTAGAAGTCAACTTACTAAAATTAAACTTGAGCTCTTAAAACACCACATCTTATATCTACCCAATAAGATATTTTAATTTCTAAAATAACTTTTTTACTTTCCTATAATTTTATATATCTAAACAAAAACATGTATCTACATAAAATGCCTAACAACTTAAAAACATGATCATAACCTACAACTTAGTAACATAAATGTCATCATACATGATCTCAAGTCAATGCATAATGAACCATCTACATACAACATGCATCATATAACCAAATTGTCACTTTTCAATCATGAAACAATTTAAATATCACATTAAAATCATGTAGCTCATACCTGGCATCGAGTGTGCCATCTTGATGCCATTGAGGTATGAGACTTCTTGTCTTGCCCACGGTCAATGCCAAACCAATCGCAACTGATGTGATTAACCATAAAGCCCAAATCAAGTAGAGAACATCTGTTTGACTCATGCCCATCGTCACTACTTTGACGTCTAACATTGATTTAGGCATAGTCGAGATTGTCTCTCCTCATGTCCGACACCACAAATCCTATGCCCGACATGAGTGAGATGGTACACCCTTGACTTGAGTCACACCTAGGATGATGACAATTTTTGCACTCATGCAAAAATTAAATTTGTCCAATCCACCTGAAAATCCAACCAAATTTCAACATGCAAAAATTAATACAACCTAAATTCAACTTATAAGACTTATTTCCATCATTAAAAACATGTATGCATCGAGATACAAGAATCATTATGTTCTACCCATAATCAACTTCAAGAACATCAAATAAATCACTTTAATAGAAGAAAAAAAAACTCCCTATTTTTTTTTCAATCAATCTCTTATTTTCAACTCTTTTATCTTAAAAACCTTATCCATTTTTTTATACTTTTTTTTTTTCCGACTTACTCTTTCATCTTAATTTTTTAATATTTTAATTAAAACAATATAGCCTGATATAGCAAAATAGAAAATTTTATTATCTCTCAATATAAAATAATTTTACATTAACTTTACATAATCATTAAAGTTGAATTTTATAAGATTTTATATTAAGAAGAATTCACATTCATAATAAGATTAATTTATAATAAATCAAATTATGTTTCAAAACATTTAATTATGCATTTATTGTCATATACTTTGTAATTAATATAGAAATGTTATGCACGGCGCACATGTCTAATTTATTTTCGTTAACATCATTACCAGAAAAGTAATTAGCAATTTAAATCTGAATCGACCCATAAAATAAAATAAAAAATTATTTTGTCGTTTATGAAAATTATATATGTTTTTTTTATAAGATATATATCGCTTTAGTTAATGAGTTGATATGATATTTCAAGTAATTATTTTTGTATAATTTTTAATCCTTATAATTATCTTTTTAATTTTTTTTAATTTGCATATTTATATATTTTTAATCATTTTAATTCATATTATTTTTTTAACATTGTATTTTATGTTAACATATTAAAAGTCTTCAATTTTATGAAGATAAAAAAAAGATATTTTAACAATAAATATTAAATATAAGAATACAAAAGAGACATAAAATATCAAAAAATTTAATTTAGAGTAATTATAATAAAATAAATTTGACATAAAGATAAGAAAAATTAAAATAATATTTCTATCACGTTAATATAAAAAAGATAATGTTATAAAAAAATTAAAGACTAAAAATGATAAAAAAAAATATAAACAGACTAAAAAAATTTATTTTAAATAATAAAAGACTAAAAATAAAATAATAAAAAATTAAAAAATATTGTAAATTTTAAATAAAAGTAAAATAAATTAATATTTAATATTTTGAATATACATTTCTATACTAATTAAGTAATTATGTAAATAACCTAAAAAAACTTATGTCGTGTTTAGGTGAATTTTTTTTTTAATTTTGAAATAAAATTGAAATACTTGAAATTTGAATTATTTTGTTTTATTTTCATATTTTAATTTTTTGTTAAATAAATTAAATTTAAATTTTTAAAATTTAAATATTCTATTTAAAAAAAATAATTTAATTTTCATTCTGTGCAAACTTTAGTTTTTAGATATATGTTTAGAATTTTAAATTTTAAAATTAAGATAGTAAAAGAGATGAGATGGAGGTGAAAATTAAATAGAAAAAACTCAAGAAAGAGAGAAGCGAGCGAGGAGTAGAGAGAAAAATACAACAACAAAAAAAAATTAAAAAAAGGAATTTATTTTAGCTCAGCTTGTAAAGTAGAGAAATTGTATATTATAGTTTAATAATTTATTTTTCTTATTAAATAAATATTGATATTAAATAATAATATAAAATTATTATCGATTCTCACATTTATTTTGTATCATAAATCAAGTTATTATTCTTAAAAATGTATACGTTATATATTTTAATCACCTCTTAAATTTTATAAATCTTTATCAAGTGAAAAGTTGTTAGAATAATACTACTTTGATGATCAGAGCAAGAAATATAGGGATGAGAAATGTGAAATTTATCTGACACGTGTCCAGCAATGGAGCTGATGCTGTAATATTCAGTGTAAATGTAAATGCATTCCGAAAGGCGGTGTGGGACCCATGAAAGAGGGTCATCGTTGTCTTTTGTCAGATACTCATATGCAGGCTGGCTCGTCAGAAAACACGTTGGACGGGTTTAGCTTGTGTCGTTCCCTTTAACTACAATACAACCTACCTGTAACGCAATACAATCTGTATTTTTTTTCAGGACAAACATAGAATAAAACGTACAAAATCTTTTAATTCTATAAAAACTGAAAACAAGCATACGTGTAATACGTACAAGAAAGAATTAAGTATAGGGAGATGGGTTAGTTATGGAAGTGTTGTTGTTGACACGATGGTTGAAGGTGTGGCGGGAAGAGACGTGGTTCCCGCCAAAAGAGTCGGTTGATACGTGTCTCCTAAAAAGTTGTGTGGGTCACTCCAAGTGCATTGGCCATTGGGTTCGTGAGCGTGTCTTTTTACACGAACGAAGGGGCAATGCAATGTAGTATACGAGGTCGAGGAGGGAAATTTGAGTAGTGCCACGTGGTTTGACAGCTCAGCAAATATTGTCTGGGCCCACGTGTTGTTCAACTTTTCGTAAATCCCGCCTCTGTGAACCGTTTGGACCCTGTAGCGTCAAATTTGAAATCGTTGTTCACCATTTGTGGCGGGATTTAGGATCCTCTATCCAATGGCGCCGCATATCTTTCCGTGGGACACTCCACGCATGTTTTGCTCCAACGTGAGTGAACATGTTTCAATAAATAATCACTGTGATTAACGCAATTAATCTATTATTACAATGTATGTATCTTCTTTGTTGTCTCTTTAGCTTTCTCGGATTTAGACAAGTTTGGTTTCCAACTTTCTTGCATGACACCCCGCATTTTCCTAATTTGTCGCTCGCACCATAAATATTAAATACTATTCCACGTCTCTCTTTAACTTTTTATTTTGAATAAATATATATTGTTCATGCATAATCTTCGTATAAGATTCAGTTTAATTAACTCCCCCATCTAATTTTATAATAGATTTGACTCATTTAAATAAATACATTTTTATAGGAGAAAAACATAAAAATAAAATAAGGTTTTCAATAAATTAAAATTGCGATTCACAATGTTTTTCTTGTTTCATGTGTTGCTTGATCGTTAGTTGACTTTCCAAAAATAAATCTCAGTTTTTATGACAGGCCCTAGTTCTATCCTAACTACCTTATTGCCTATTCTAGAAATTTCAGAAGATAAACTCAGGCCTGTAATACAGTAGACAAACTATCCCATGAAACACGAAGCATTTTTTAATCGTTGTCACGATATATTTAAGTGAAAAAACCCAAAAAAAAAAAAAAGTATTCAACATTTTTTTAGTGTTCTAAAACACAGATTGCTTTAAGTTGGTTACACCAAAAAGTATCTTATGCTGAAACAATTTTAATTATGACAGGAACCCATACCAAAAGTGGTCACAATATATTAGGAGATGGACCAAACCATTTAGTAGTACAATTATGGAGACGTTTATGGAAGCAGCTAGGAAGCTAGCAAGAATAGATTGTACCGAAAAGTAAAGAAAGAGACAGTAGGATTAGGAAACCACACCACAATGACTCATCCGCAGCATGGCCTACTCAGGTTTCAGTTTCACGTCAATAACAATTTAGTACGTTGGAAGTATCATCCAATTTTCATCACTGCTGGAAATTGGACTTGGATCCAGCTAGGATAATTAACTAACCTCCCTTCCACAATGTACACGTGCTTATCTTCTATGCTTTAAAGCCGCAAAGTGAAACACTGTTTGTTCCAAAGGGTCTGGATTCCTGGCCCAATTCGTGAGTTTTGTAGGCCCTAAGTCCAACGGCTTATGAACCGGCCCAAAAAAAACGTCAAAAATACGACACCGTATGTCACTTCTGCTTAAAACAGCTCTATCCAGTTCGGAACTCTCGCATTTTGTTGTGAAATGGCTGCTGCGAACTACCACTGCCCCGCGAGTCTGATATTGCGGTCCGACATTGGGGTTCGTTTTGTTCACACTTTGACGCTAAAGAGCACCGAGAATTCATGGCTTGGAACTAAAGTTAGGGTTTCACCATGCAATCTCAATCTGAGACCTCTCGTGTCCGTTTGCCGGCGCCGCCCACCCGCCGCCACCGTCTCCTTCAGCCTCCCCACCGCGTAAGCTATTCTCAGTTCCCAATTCGAAATTGGTTTCCACGTTTTTGGATTTATTGTAAGTTTCTGTTTGCAGAAATCCAGAGCGTGCTTCTCCTGGCCAAGAAATCCCCAAGTGAGTATCGTTATCGTCCAAACGTGATTGACTCTACTTCCTTTTCTCGTTCCGTTGTCATTGCTTCCTTGCTAATTGTGTTTGATGAAAGCAAGATGGTCTTCCAAGGCTATAAAATCGTTTACAATGGCTGAATTGGAGGCGAGGAAACTTAAGTATCCCACTACGGGAACTGAAGCGCTTCTCATGGGGGTTCTCATCGAGGGTAACTAACTCCTTTGCTCCATTACAGTTTTTCAGTGCTTTATGCTTGTTTTAGATTTTGGTGGAATTGTTGTTAGAAGGATTTAGGAAGAATTGAGTTCACAACAAAATATATGTGTTTGGGAAATGAATTTAGAAATGTTGATTTTGTTTATTTGGTAGAGTAAACTTGCTTTTGAAGTGGAAATGAGATATAATTTGTGGGTCACGTACTTGATTTAATTCTTTTCAACCGAAAAGCTAAAATACTCACTTCTCCCAGAAGTAACGAATGTTGCCAAACACTTCACTGTTCGAAGGCATTTCTCCTTGCCGGAGATTTGATCGCCAATGCTAAACAAACAAGCTATCTTATGGTGTAATGTGAATTAGTTTGCGTGTACAACATAAATGGAGGAACATCTTTGCATTCATTTGATGGGAACTTACGTCACAAATGGGTATAGTCCTTGATATAATAGATCTTAGTTCCCGTTAAGTTTTTATGCAAAACCCGTTGGTTCCATAGGATTTTTTTTTTCTTGCTGTAGAAACTAGAGATACTTGGCTAATAGCAATCTATATTATTCGTAGGTATCAATCCTGCGCGTAGCGGCTAACACCAAAAACACTATAGTGGTATAGCACATAGCAGGATAACCAATATTTTGAAACATTTTGTACGGTTTATATAATTCATGCTAAAGACATAAATTCTCAAAAATTGAAAAAATGTACTAAAAAATATTGACATGTTCACAATTAAGTACTCCCTTCTTTCCATATTGATTGATGTTTGTGGTTTTTTTGCACACAAATTAAGAGAAACAGTTACTCCAAGATAATTTTAGTAAAATATCCCTACTCCCTTAATTTCTATAAGAAAACGCTAACCAGTGCACTAAGGCATTGGTTAAGGGATTAAAAATATAAAATTTTATTGGAAAGTGTATATGCACATTTTTTTCGCATAACTTTATTTTAGTTTTCAATAAAAACTTTCTACTTAATGATTCCTTAACTAGTGCCCTAGGGGCACCAATTAGCAAGACCATTTCTATAAATGTATTATTAAGTATTATACAAGACAATAATATTTATTCTGAGCAAAATTTGAATAGAAGTTTTAGGTTAAATAAGTTTTTAGTCCCTCAACATTTTAAGAATTCAATATCTAGTCCCTCTTAAATATTTTGAAAACATTTAATCCTTCATTATTATTATTATTTTTTTTTGTTGCATAAATTAGTCCTTGGGGTTAAGTCTCTCCTATTAAGTGATGATGTGAACTAATAAGTCATGGTTAATTGAATTATTGATGCTTATGTGGTTGCCTAGTAGATGCCCAAGTCATATGACTTGTGTAATTTTTCTATTCACACATGGTCGAACATTATTTTTTTGAAAATAAAGAATGCTATTAAAAAAGCTTTTCAACACTAAGACCATGAGCAAATAGAAAAATTACACATGTAATATGATTTGACATTTATTAGCTAGCCATGTGGATATCAATAATCAAGTAAGCTGTAACTTATTAGCACACCATCATTTAAGAGAAGAGACTAAACCCCAAGGACAAAATTTATGAGATGAAAAATTAATGGAGGATTAAAAGTTGGCAAAAAATTTAAGAGGGACTAAAAATTGAATTTTTAAAAAGTTGAGGGACTAAAAACTTATTTAACCTGAGTTTTAATATTCCATTGAAAATTGAAAACATTAATTAATATGGAATATTTTTTCAATGCTAAAACATTAACTAATATGGAATGGAGGGAGTATAAAAGTTTATAGGTCTTAGCTCTAATCAAACATACAAGTAAATAGTAACAAAGGATACCTTGTCTAACCTAAGAGATAGAGACAAAAAGAGTGAACGAGTTTGGGTCTTTGGGAGATAGATGACCAAAAAAGATATCTCTGATGCTTAGACTAGAGAGACAATAAACAGAAACAGACCGAGAGTGATGGAACAAAGAGAACAGGAGAAAATAGAAAAAAATCACGGTGGAGAGACAAACACAGAGAACAAGGATTGGTGAAAATAAGATGACAATGAGAACAAGATTACAAGAAAAGCTAACAAAAAAACCTGAGAATGAAAACAGAGAAGTAAAAAAGGCTTCTAGACAGGTTGCCAGAGAGTCACCAGAGGGTCACAGGAGGTTCGCACAGGGGGCATGTAGTAGTCACAAGGTAGGAGAGGAGACAAGTGAAGTATGATGGTATGAACTTTGAATGGGTTTTCAACTAGCTGAAAATGTCCTTCTAATATTAATATTGGAGGCCATTCTCATGATTTTGCACACCATCAAGCATCAGCATAATTACTGGGGTTATAGCACCACAAAATGTTGCTATTGGGGCCAGTACGACCACTAGAGTTGATTACTTCTTATGAAGTATCGGCACATCTATAGAAAGCTATGTCGGTGTGTCCGTCACGTTTTTGACTTGACGGTGACACTTGTCAGACACACCTTGAATACTCTACTGTGTCTTTTTTTTTTTTGTGCGAATACCTTTCTGACATAGCTTTAAAACCTTTCCAACACAACTTGGACACGAGCCAAATGAGTGAGTCGATATATGCTCTTAGCTAAGCACTTATTTAACACTCCTATGATAAATTTTTATTTAAAAGTCAACTTATTTATAAATACTGCAAACTCATAACATTTTTTTTGATGTATCGTGAGGTGAGGCCTGTTTCATAAGAATTACTCGTTTTAACGTTTAAGAGATATGATTCATCTTCTAAGTGTCATTATATAAAAATTGTAAAGCTTATATATATATATATATATATATATATGCCGTGTTCCCATGTCTTACAGTTTAGACATTAGCCGTGTCCTAGTGTTCATGTTCGTGTTGTGTCCGGTGTTCATTTTCTGTGTCCTTACAAATAATTCAAGGCTAGAAAGGCTTTGATTTTCCTTTGGGAAAAAAAGGACATTTTTCATCTAACTTAACTTAAAGACTACAGTTCTTTTAATTTATTTCAAGGTGAAAATTTATGCCTTTAACTTTATTATGTTTGGGATGCTTTTGGTTGATTTCATATATCCCTTGTGTTTTTTCTGCATTTCTACCTATGGAAGTTCTGAATTTCCAAGTTTAAGCATTTTGCCTAATCTATCTTTGGGCTTTAGGTACTAACCTAGCTGCTAAGTTTTTGCGATCCCATGGAATTACACTTCTCAAGGTGCGAGATGAAACTGTGAAGTTACTAGGAAAAGCTGATTTGTTTTTCTTCAGCCCAGAGCATCCTCCACTAACTGATGAAGCTCAGAGGGCCCTTGATTGGGCTGTTGATCAAAAAATAAAATCTGGTTGGTTCTTGTCATTTTTCTCATTTACTATAGCTCATTACCAATTGCAGAGGATTGGAAAGCTGATTGCAAAGCTTATATGACTTTATGCATTATTTAATGCTTTTGCTAGTGGTTTAAATTCTCTCTGATATTATCTGAGTCCTTCTCTCTCTAGATTTTTTTTTAAAATAAGTGTGTGAACATACAATTCGACAGAATTTTGTTTATAGTATGATGTGTCATGTCAGGTTCATCATAAACTAGCGGTGAGCCACAGTTACTATACAAATTTTTATTTTGTAGGACCTATGCATTCAAGCATAAAACACATTATATTTGAGCTTATGCCAAGAAGATTTATTTTGTAGTGAATTCTAGATGAAAATTTCTATATGAATAGCATAACATGTATGGGACTTACATGTTTAGATGTAATCCTGCCAAATTAAATGTGGCTAAAGTTGAGGATGACAGGTGCTATTTTATTTAAAACCCTGGCTCTTCGGTTTTTATTGCCTATGCTCCTAGTTACTTATTGCTGGTTTATAAGAGTTTGTGTTATTTGATTGTGCTAATGATGTGATGTCTTTTGGTCCTGAAGCTTTTCTTCTAGCAAAAATAAATGTCAAACCTACGTTTAGGTTAATGATGGTTTAGTTAGTTCCTGACTTCCATTCAAATTTTAAGAATTTAAGACTCAATTCTTCTTTTGGAAATCATGATATATGATGAAAACTAAACTAGGAATTCCAAGATAAAGCTGAGGCAATTAAGAAAGGGTACTGTAAATAAATGGAAGAATTTATTTAGAGTTGTCAGATAGAGTTTGAAATGCTTTTACTGTAGAGTTGAAGGCATGTTGGTTCTATAGCCAAACAGAAGATCTGTGTCATTTTCAAGGATATGTTTTTGGCATTATTCTTCTTGCTCCTGATTAGAGATGGCTTTTGTCTAAGAGTGTTCTCTTGTGATAACAGCCCATTGTAATATTCCCTTGTTTAAATATTGTTTAAAAATAAGTTATTGGTAGAAATGTTGCCATTGATTTTGTTTTGTGGGACAAAGTTGTTCTTAATAAGTAGAAATGCCATTTTTGGGCAGCCACGGCTAATTCATAGATTTTCCTGAGTTCCTCGCAATATATTACTCATGTGCACATCATTACAGTGTGTTTGCAAATGATGATTTTTATATAATGTTCTATGCTCAGGGCAAAAGAACTAAACCTTTTTATAAATCCACATTTACTTGCAGTTGATGGCGGAGAAATTACCACAGCACACATACTTCTTGGCATCTGGTCTGAAGTGGATTCTCCTGGTCACAAGATTCTGTCCACCCTTGGCTTTAATGATGACAAGGCTAAAGAGCTTGAGTCCTCAATTTCTAAACCTGGATGTACGGATGATTGATGTCTGGTTAAAAATGTATGGGAAAGAGTTTTGCTTTAAGTGCGTATTGATCATTGATGCCATTGTTTGTACAATTGATAGATCAACAGGCTGTTCTGTTTTGCCTATTGATTTGGAATGCATAAATCTAATTTTCAAATGTTAAGGGCCCTTCCCCCTCTCTCGAATCAAACAAAAGAAAGAAAGAAAAATAAATAAACGGGCAAAAGCAAAGCAAAGCAAAGCGATGTGGGTTGCTTTTAAGTGATTTTCAGGAAAAGTCCTTGAGCACTGAAACACTAAAAGTGGGTGGACAAATGAGTAGCGATTGAGGTAACGTACGGATGACCTCCTGCTTTCAATTTGCCCACACGGCGAAGCTGTGTCTAATACGTCTCTAATTCGTCCGGGCCTGGTCTAGTGTTTAAAGATCTTTGAATTTGGTTAGATGCAGTCTTGGAGATATTTTTTTTCTAATATTCTTTTTACTTTACACTTGATCTTTTTCATGAGCGTCAACTCCTTCTTCAGTGTCATATTTGGGAAGTTCCTTAACCTGCTCGTTGCCCGCTAGTGTTTGTGCCTTGGCAGCTTCTTCCATCCAGTTTAACCGCGCAATAAATACCAATAACAGCGTCAAGCATGTGACAATTCCAGTGACAAGTCCAATGAAGAGTCCAACAAGCCCAAGACGGAGCTTGAAGGCAAAAACAACACCAAGTGGCAAGGCCAGGAAGTAAAATCCACCTAGATTCGCATACATGCCCAACCAGGGTCTTGCTGTCCCTCGAACTATGCCTCCACAAACTGCTAACGGAAAATTAAACACTTCTACTAGAGCCATCAGCAACATTGTTTTCTTTACTCCCCTTATAATTCCTACATCATGGCTAAACAGGGGCCCCCAAATTCCCCTGGCAGCCACCATCACCAAGCTGCCTATGCAACCAGAGATAAAGCCCAATGCCAGAGACACGCACGCTGATCGGTAAGCAAGACGAGGTTGGTTCGCACCAAGCTCATTTGAGACACGGGTGGAAACACAAGTGGCTAGCGATAACATGACTGAGAAAAGCAAATAGTCAAAATTTAGCACAATGGCCAAAACTCCCACTGCTTGCTTGGCGTTAGTGAGGTGGCCAGTAAGTAAAACTAGGATCTCGTAGCACCACCACTCAAGGCACGTGTTGAGGCAGCATGATCCACATAGCTTGAGCAGCCTAATCCACTCTTCAATGCTCTGATCCCACCACCCTCCTTCCTTCCACATGCTTTCCTTTTTGTTCTCAAGAATCAGAACATAAATGGCAAGCAGAACCACAACAATAAGATCAGTTATCCAAACCGCCATGGAGACTCCCCTGAGGCCCATGGTCTTTGAGAGCACTATGTTAACGGGTACGTGAAAAGCTAGTGCCACAGCAGAACTAAACATGGTGGGAAGAGTTATGCTTTGAGAGCTCAAGTAGGCTTTCAAGGGACAGAAGAATGAGGCGACATACAAGTCAGGTATGAGACAAGAAACATAGGTTCTGGCCACTGTGGAGATGTCTTGCTGTTGGCCAAAACGAATCAAAATGCTGTCAACATGAAGCCACAAGAAAGTGATGGGAAGTGATACCAACAGCAACAAGAGGGTTGTCATGAGAAGGGTCTTGTGAAGGAGCCTGAAGTTTTTGGCACCATGAGCCTGTCCACATATGGGTTCCATGGCACCGCAAAGGCCATTGAGGAGAGAGAAGCCAGTGACGTTAGCAAAAGTGAAGCCGAGAGCTCCACCTGCCAAACTGAGCTCCCCAAGACGGCCTAGAAATGCAGTTGTGATGGCTGTCTTGGCAAACCAAGCCAAGTTCATGGCCACCATTGGAAGGGCTATTCCTCGTTGAACTCTTAGTTCTGAGACCACCATCTTCACCACTGGCGGAGGAGGTGAGGGGCTTTCGTTGGTTTTATCGTTTAAGCTAAGGTTGTCTCCTAGTTTGCACGTTGCTGACATTGTGATTTGTGTGCCTCGGATTGGATTGGTCGTGTGTGAGGGACTTGTAGTATTTTAAGACGGAATAAAGGAAACGCTTGTTTGAGAAACATTTATAGTGCCTGTGCCGTGTGCGTCATCGGCCATGCCACACACACACACCATACAACGCACTCTGCTTCTTTTAAGTATTTAAATTGTTATTTGTTAAAAATGCATTATATATTATATTAAATATCTGTTTGATTCGTGAAAACATACCAAATTCATACTTATTTGTACTGAACAAGTTTAATACTTATCATTAAGTAATGGTTTGAATTTTGTATCTCCTGTTAGTAATGTAACTCAATTACTAGGGTATCTATCTTTTATTTGTACACAGGACTCACCATTTGAGTAATACAGTAGTACTTATAACATACAGCAAAATTAACATATTGTATAGGTCATCTTTTAAATGAATCTGGTTCAAAACATATGACAGTTTGAACTCATAATTTTAAGGGCCCATTTAGATAATAATTAAATTCATTTTTCCCACCGTAACATATGTTTCAATAAAATATTTATATTTAAGATATTTTAGATCTTCTAAAAAAAGCATATATTTTAGATATACATCTTAATTATGTTTGACAGGTTAAAATTACTTCTACTAAATTGTAAATCAAACAATAATTAAAATTTCTATAAAAAATAATTAAATTTATTTCATTACGATTATTCATATATGCATTAAGAGAACGTTTGTTTCGATATATATTTTTTAGAATCTCATTCTCAAGAATATTATACTAAAGAATATTATTCTCATGAATATGTTTAGTTGATATTTATTAATTTTAGAAGATATTTTTATTTAAATTAAAAATCAAAAAGAAAGTAGAATGAATAAATGTGATAAATAAAGTTCGAAGATAATTGTTAGAAAAGCAAACTTTATTCATGAGAGAATGTAAGATACACACATTTTATTATTATGAGAATGACATGTCACATATAAAATTTTGTATTTTTAAAAATGTAAGATACTTTGGAATATGTTTTCATAATCTTTTAATAAATATGTGAATAATTTTATTTCACTTTCATATTTCTTAAAATAGAGATTGCGTGAAACAAACGCTTAACAAAATCTTTGTCTATGCGTTTCTAATCCATTTTAAAAACAAATTATACCAACACTTTTCAAGTTTTGTGAAATTACATATAAGTAACTTCTTTATTTTCTTTTCACTTTTACGATATCTTTTATAGGAGGACATGGTATAATATTTTTCGAACAATCAGATTTAATGAAATATTTAAAGGACGAAAATATCATGTTTATAAAATAAAATAATTAAATAGAGCTGGTGTAAGAATATTAAAAATAGAAAATCTATGTACAATCTGAAGAAAACTCATGAAATGTTAGTATACTTTATTTATTTATTTATTTTATTAAAGAGAGTACCCCCAATGGCCAAGACCGAAAACTAACTGTTGATATTTATCATAGATTCTGTTTCTTGATTTTTCTATCAAATTATTTTATTTTTTCACTTAAGTAATGTTTTTCCACACACATGTTTTCCAAAAAGGTAAAAAGTTCAAAACTGGTTTATTATTTAAAAGGGATTTCTTTTTCCCCAAACCCAGGTGGATAAATTCTGAAGTGCAAATGAAAATTCCATCACCGTCTTATGCCACTCGATTTTGAAGATAAGACAACTTTCCTATTCTTTTCATTGAAAAAAGAAAATATATTCTTTCTTTAACAACATTTGTTTGGTGGTAATATTCTCACGTTCATCTCCCCACTCTCGCACACTAAAATATAGTTATACTGTTTATGTAATATATTTTTATAACATGTTTTTGTAATTGATCTTTTTTTTTTTTCCTTTTTAATTTCAATCAGATCAATTATCTTATGATTCTTATCCAACATATTTTCCCTCTTCTTTTCCTATCACTACCTTTGTTGTACAAAAACTTGTATAAACATGATGCACGCATATTATTAATTTCTCTTAAAATAATTCTTTGATTTAATGCTATTCAAAAATTAAAAACAATTATACTGTTATTACATAAAAGTTATATTTCGAATTGTTTTCTATTCATATAATGGAAATAATTTCTTATATTTCATTGGTATTTTAGATTTAAGTAAAATTTGAAAATTTAAAATAATTTAAAAGCTTACTTAATTAATGATAAATTCTGGTAGAATTTAGAATATAAATTAAAATAAGATATTAAAATTATAAATTTATGTATAATTAATTCAAAAAAACTTAAATTAATTTTTTAAAAAAAAACCCTCAAGATAAATTGTGTTATTAATTTGATGTATAAAAAACAATTTTTTTTAATTTAACTTTGCATTAACAGTGTCTTTTATAATTTAATCATTTATATCTTTAATTAATTATTAAAATTATATTTTATTTTCAAAAACATTTCAAATCCACTCAAATATACTACTAAAACAATCCATATAAATATCACTCACCAGCAACTGTTTGTGTCTCTCTATTAATCAAAATATGTTTCATTGTCATAACACTTTTTAGGAAGTCAGCACTTTTTTTATTTGGTGAAAATTACTTTAATTTTTTTTAATCTCAAAACTCTTGAAAATTGAAATGGAATCCAATCACAATTTTAATATTATGGCACCTAAGTTAGATTCCTATGTTTTTTTTTCCTTACTACGTATAGACTCTCTTCCATACACATGCAACGTCGAAAAGTCAAAATTTAGTTACATACTTAAAAAAATATAATTATTTTCCAACCAATCACATCATATTTATCTAGGTGTTCTCTTTATATATATGGGAAGAACCAGATGTAATGTTTGTCTCTTTACTATTACAAAAATAATTTTTAATAATAATCTTGTGGTGATAAGAATGTAATTATCATTAAATCAAATAAATCAATCATAAATTATATGATTTTGTGCGCCAACAAAAATTAATTGTTAAATTTTGTTATTTATTAATCAATATTTAATATATGTAATTAGTTTAATTAATTTTTTTTGACAATTTAATAAATTTTTACCAATATTTTATATAAATATCAATAATAGTATTAACAATTCTGAATACACTATTTATTATTTAATTGTTAGTAAAAATAATAATAATCATAATTTTTATATGACTTATAAAGGATAAACATGATGTAATGCTCTCTCTATATTTTTAAAATACAACATAAAATAAAAGAAAGAAAAATGAAGTAGCTGAATAGAAAACAAGAATGTGCAATTGCTTTTAGAGAGTGTAATCAAAGTTTTTTTTTAATTTTTTTTTATTGATAATGTAAACTCCAGTTTTGTTTTGTTTTATGGATATAATAATAAGGGAATGAAAAGTTGAAAAGTATATAGCATCTATATATAAAATTGTAGTGTCTTTTTAAGCTTACATGGCTTATTTGACCACAATCCTTTGTTACTAAATCCGAAATAATTTTATTTTTTCTTAATAAATTCGTTCAATAGTTTTTCAATTATTTAAAAATTTTGAATAAATTTTGCATTTGAAGACATTAAAATGCAAATAAAGGAAATTGAGAAATAATTTAATTGTATGTAATTTCACACCATCTCATTTGTTTCAGAACTTTGTTTTTTTTTTTTGATAAAAGACTTATTATTTTATTTTATTCATTGCATGATGATAATAAGTTTTTTTCTCCAGTTTCATCATTATTTCTTGGTATTTTCACCGGATGAAATGATAATTAATTAGATGAGATTCTCTCTCCATTAATTCTAAAACAAGTTTCATGGAAAAAGAAAATTTCAGTTGTAAAATTAATAGCGTTATTTAAGCTTTTAATTTGCATTTATATACCTAGTAATATCTTTTAGAAAATAATTATTGGGTTACATTATTTGTATAAAAAAAGGGTTAATTATGTAAAAGAAATATATATTTCTCAATGCTGCATGCGAGTATGCGACAAATGCAATCTTACTATCTTAGCCTTAATTCCATGCAAGGTATATTGGCGAATATAATATTTGAAAGTTGAAGAAATCATGAAGAATCAATTAAAATCGGTTTGAATCCAGTATACATAGATTCGGGGTGATTAATTCCGTCGGTTGATACCCAGTTAGGCTGAAAGTAATATTCGTGTGCCAACTTAATGATGTTTATGCTCCTTTTTCAAAACTTGCATTGCATGCATGGATGAGAAAAAATTAAAGGCTACAAGCTCCTACCTTTTTCCCAGGACAATGAACACCTAATTTAACATACAGCACTGACCAGTCATTTTTCAACATCTAATAACTCCAAACACTTTATTAATTAATACCTTTAATTTTTATCCATCTTTCTCTTCTTATCATTTCCATTTTTTTTTTCTCTTTCTTTATCCCTAGCTCTATATATCATTTAGAGTTGGGTCTTAACTCTTAACCAATTATTCTCTAACATAAAAGGACTGTAGGTACTAGGAAGATATATGATTCTGTATCCTGTGGAGGATGTAAACGCAGCATTAAGGCTAAGGAATCTTAAGGAATTTAAGTATGGAGTGAGACTTTAACAGATTACATATATTATGAGATTGGAGAATTTGTCATATATGCAATATACCCACGAGCATAGGGGAGAAAAGAGAACCGAAAGGTGGAAGCAGATACTTCAGCGATCTAAACTAAAGCCTTTATATTTTTATTTTTGAAAGTGTTTTTTTTCCTCGTTCCCTTTCTTTCCCACTCACGATTCACGATTCTGTAAAGTGGTTAGTGGGGTAAAGGGTTGGTCCAGACGCAGAACAAAAGTTAATTATCTAACTTGCTCCTTCCATCATCACTAATTATCTTGCATTAGTAAAGTTTTCAATCATGATTCTAGTACACAACTTGAAACATATATAATTATATATATATGGCCACAAAAACTTCTTCCACTTTGAGGCCCTCCAAGCTGGAAAGAGGAAAACCTACTTTGCACAGGTATATATGAATATATATATTAGGAAGAAGAAATGTCAGCAACGATAAATACATCATTTTTACAAAAATCAAAATACAGGCATGACAATATATATATTAAGTTAAATATAATTATATTTACATATTTTATTAATTTATTTTATTACTTTTTATTATTTCTTACTATAGTGAT